GCTTTTTACTGTACGAGTGTGGGCCAGCAGGAATAATAGACTTGAATTGTTGCTCAAAGTTTGGCAAACTGTTTTCTTGGTAATCAATGCGCAATGGATTGCAGGAAATTTATATGCGATTAGAGCTGAATTAAAATGCCCATATAACTGTAAAACATTGTATTGTGTGTGTGTGTGTGTGCTTGGCTCACATTGAAACCAATTTTCTTTCAATTCAATTTTCAAGCAATTTTCGCATTCACCCATTTTTTGATAAATACGAATCTCATGGAAATGCAAGTCAAACAGAAATGCAATTTACAAGCCAAATGCAATTGCCGTCCATTTAAATATGCACGCATTTATGCCGAGTGCCATTTTCATATGTGTGTCTGGTCATATTTTATAAAGCTTCATATTATCCACATACGGTATGGCCCAGCAGGCCGACTTACCCACCCACCCACACACCCACACACACACACAGAGAGAGAGAGAGCTGCACTAAATTGAAATTCTGACTAAAAAAAGAAAGAGAAAAAGTAGAATAAACTTCACTTTATAAATTACAAATAAGCAACGAAGCCCAGCTACAAATGTATGTACGGCTACGGCCAGAGGCGAGCAGGAGGCTAAGCACATATCCTCTGCAGAACCTAAAACCTATGTCTGGATACGGGTTCAGGTTCAGGTTCGGTTTCTGTCCCTGTTCCTGCTGCTGTTCCTTTTCCTGCTCCTGTTAAAGTTCTTGTCATGCGAGCCGGCGAAGCCACAACAAAAACTCCACGCCCACGCCCCCACTCACTTGCCGGCCCCCAACTCCAGTTTCTAAAGAAAATTAATTTTTTTTTGAAAACCATTAAAAATTAATTTTATTTTATGGAAGAGCTTACACACACATACATACATACACCCACACACACACACACATACGAGCAGCTGCAAATGTTATGAAATTTGTGAGAGGCTGACTAAAATGAAACAAGAAATTCTACGCCACTTTTTATTGCACAATCTCTCTACCCCCACCTCACATTCGCCCTCTCTCCCTCACTCTGTCTGTCTCCCTCTATGTATGTGTGTGTGTGTGTGTGTTTGTGTGGGTCTCTTTGGTTTTGGCATGGTATATTTATAATGCATACAAACACTTGACTGCGTCTGCCCTGCCTCACAGTGGGGGCGTTAACTGGACGCCAGGGGGCGCCACACTTGACTTGATTCTTTTCTTTCCATTTTTGTGCCTTTTTATACCCGGAACCACCAATGCCAAAAGGCTAAGCAGGGTATCACGCTTCCTAACTAAATATGTACGTTACGAGCGGCATGTGGACTGATTATATATATTCTTAATCATAATCTAACTGATATAATGTATACTTAATCTAGCACTAATCTAGCTCTATTTTGTAGTGCAATAATTGGTTGAATTTAGAGTTTTTGTAGCTCATCTAAAATCAAGCTTATTTCAGATATCGATATACATTTATCTACATAAGATGATTAAATTTAGTCTGATTTACTCTACTCGATAGTCGATTGCCTCTGAGTGGAATATTATTGGCGCGTGGAATATAGTGGCTTAGTTACATTATAACGTATTAGAAACTATCGGTATCGCTTTCAATGACGTGTAATCGATTATAATCGAAAATATTTCAAATATATTAAAAATATATTAAAATTATTAAATTATAATGTTTACTAATTTGCGTTTTTCATCTTCCAAGCATATGGTAAAATATTCACACATGTATGCATATACATGTATCCGATTCAAGGTATTCCGGGCATGCATTCTCAGTTTAATTACTATATATAGTAGGTTCTAATGTAAAGGCTTATCAAATTGTTTAAGTAGATCCCTTCAAGTATTAAAATTGAAGCTCCGAGCATATGAATCAGATGCCATCTGCTTTTACAAACAAATTTCTATTTAAACTCAGGCCATATTCAGTTAGGGAACTCTCTCTAGGTATATCCCGTTCTCTTAAATTCTCAAGTCTACAATTTTTTCGGATGCTGTTTTAGTCATCTTATATCAATATATATTGAATCAGGATACATGTATATGCAACCATGTATTTGTAGGGTATTTCACAGTCAGTCAGTTCTTCTTCAACACATTTGCTTGCTTGCTTTATTTTTTTGGTCTTGCGCCCGTATATGCCCAAGAGCGCTAAGCAATGAGCGCGCGAGTGTGGCCGAGTGGTTGTGGGCGTTAGTCCTTGCCAGGGCCATAGTCAGAGCCACAGCCATAGCCACAGCCATAGCCGTAGCCAGCTGGCTTAACAGCAGCAGCAAAAACACGCCTCCACATACACGCTAAAATAAACTTTGAATAAGCATTTCGTATGCGTATATAAAATGGACTCTTCTCTGTCTTCCGCTAACACACACACATACACACACGCACTCATGCTCTCTGTGTAGGTCTGTGCGCCGTGTTTTGTATTTTACTGGCACAAATCTCAACATAAATCTTAAGTATGCCCCAATCCTTATTCCCCATTTGCCCATGCCCAGCATCCACATGGCTTTCATTATGGCCACGCAACGGGCACCAAAGTGAGCCAAATAGGCGAAGCTGCATGTAAAGCAATAAAGCAAAATGCGCAAAAGGAACTCGCCAACTGGCCAACCGGCCCAACTGTCCAGCTGGCCAACTCTGTTGAAGGACTCCTGCCCAGCTGCCCCGGCAGCGGCTAGTGCAGGGCAACAAAATATTTCAATTTCCCTGGCTCATTAAAATTAAATAACTGCGCTTAGAGCACATACTCTCACTTACTCTACCTCCACACTCACTCACTCTCTCTCTCTCTCTCTCTCTCTCTCTCTCTCTCTCTCTCTCTC